TTGGTTTATTTGAGGAAAATATCGCTATCCTTTGTTCTCAAGTAATGTTCTGATTGGTTAACTCTTTTCCAGGTGGCCTGGTTCGAGTAGTTGCACTGTGACTGGTTTGTACCTTGGGAGCCAAGCAACCGCTTCTTTGTGACCACAAATAGGAATCTAACTTTTTAAGCAGCTCGTGTATCAAGGTCCTGCAAACGAAAACATTACAACAATGGATTAACAAGAAAAAATACGCAGACTTCAGAAGGACATAAAATCTGCTCCCAGTTCCGTTCAATGTTGCAATGCACAGCGCTAAAACAGTACAGAAGTGGTAAGTAACCTTTGCCGTCTCTCAATCACGGCTCCTAGCAGACACGAGTAGTAGAAATCCGTGGTGAGCAGTGGCATGTCACGTGGCAGAGCCTGCAGTAAGTTGACAGTATGTCCAGCGCCCAACCGTTCAAGCATTAGATTGATCACGTTACTCCAAGTCAAATCTGGGAGCCAATCAGAAGCAGACAGTGGTGTGCATGAATGTGGACTGTGACGTGGGTCTTTGCCATGGTGATCGCGAAATAACAACAAATCCAACAGATGTCTCCACTCATCCAACGTCTTTGGCAGGAGTCCTGAACATGAGGAAAACCGAAACACCGAGTACTATTAATACCAACGTTACAACCTCAAACATTTTCAACAAGAAAACGCAACATGTTCACATCGATGACCAAAGATCACTCAGTAGAGAGAAATATTACGATCCAGATCTTTTCACTCGACCACTTACAAGCCGAGGTGTTAGTACTATAACGTGGTCAGTGATCAGTTTGGTGCTTGAAGAGCTTTTTTGTCGGCAGCTTCTAAGGTGTCCTGATTCAGCATCAGAAGGAAACATGCCAAAAAAAATTCACGGCCGCGTTTATTTGCTCTAAAGTTTACATAGAGATCACTTGGAGTTATAACGTAAAGTTTACGTGCATCAAAAGTCATAGATCGAATGTTGCAATTTCATCTCTGATCAATACACAGCCTAAAGGTTATATGATGATCATGGTATGTAAGGTAAAGTAGACCTGCATACGAGCCAAGTGGCCCATCAGGCCGGAACTTATCCCGGTTTCCGTAGCTTAAAGCGACTAGGAGTATTTCTACTTCCCCCTAGATGGGATGCTAGTCCATCGCAGGGTTACCCCCAGCATTAAATTCGCTTGTACCCATTTATACACCTGGGTGTAGCGAGGCACTGTGACAGTTAAGTATCTTGCCCAAGAACACAACACAATGTCCCCAGCCAGGACTCGAACCCGGACCGCTCGATCTGGAGACGAGCGCACTAAACATGAGGCTACCGCGGCTTCACTGATGATCATGAGAATAAACAGAAACAGCAAAGTGATACTTTCTCAATGTAACACCAAATTCTCTAAACTATAATAAAAAGAAATGCATGTTAATCGTTAAGGAGAATTGATATTTTAACCTGAATGATAGCAGTTGTACATACCCCATGGTTGCGAGTCTTTAATCAGCTTTAAGTCATTCAAAGAGACGACAAGTTCCAGAGCCTCTTGCCTTCGATTTGTCTTAATACAGAGACGGATCAGACCCAACCAGTAACTGAAAAACAGAGACCGTTAATAATCAAGTGCATTCCGTACCGTGCCACGAAGACGCTGTATGAAATGTTAATGTAAATCTTATTTATAGTGGTCATGCACTTAGCTATACAAGCACTAAGCTTAGCTAGTTTACAGGCATGCCACTGAAACAAAGGAAACAAATATTTCAAATAAACGTAACACAGTTAAAAATCCCAACTGGCAGGAGGCAGACCAGTTGGCTATTTTACAAAGCGTGGCCGAGGATCTGAACTCGGGACTACCGAGAAAGAAATCCCGCCAGAGGCAGGGTGGAGACCTTGAACCCGGGACCTCCGGATCACAACAGCAGCACCCTAAACCACCCTGCTCACTTCACGTTGTTGTTTCGAGAGGACGGCTATGAAATATTCAAGGATTTATAACGCACATGAGTGCACTGCTATTGTTCTGCTCATTAAATCTTTTCTTTGGAGACGTTTTCGTTGCCATTGCCGTCCTGGTTTGCTTGAGTTCCCTATTAACCATGCGGGCACTGAACAGTTTTTTTGTACCAGAAGACAGCGTACATGTGAAATAATACCCACATGTGAATTGCGGATGAAAGAAAAACAACCTGTGCACTATTCCAGGCATGTAAATGCCATGGTTGAGATATGAAACCCCAGGGAGTTGGATCAATTGTGAATTTCTCGTGTTTTCTTCAATTGTCACGTAGACATTTTTTCTTGGACAATTTTGTCCAAGGGGGGAACGCACAATGAGATTAATCCTATGTGAAGCACCAACCCGCGAGACAAGGACAGACCGCAACACCGGGAACCCTATGCCCTACTCTTTTCGATAAGTGTGTGAGTTCTTTAACGTCCCCAGCTAACCATGTAACACTAAAGAACGCGTTTCTCTTCTAGTTCCTGTGGGGAAAGACGTTACATGACGAGCCAGCAAATCACAAATCCGTTTTCTCTCACCCATGCTTCCAGCACAAATCCATGAAGTCTTTATATTCTACAGAATCCCTTTGGAACAGAAAGTCAATGAGGTGCAGTAAATGATCCGCCTTTTGCCACTGCAGAGTGTGCGATCCCGGTCTACAAAAAATTGATTGAATGTCTACAGCACCATTGAGTACACGTGCAATTTGCTAACCTAAAGTAAACACAGACTTAATTATAACAACGGCTGACGGTGCTAAATGAGCTTTTATGGGACACAGGAAAACCACATGAAAATTGTAGTACGTCTATACAATCCGTTGATCAACTGAAAAACATTTCTAATAACGTTCTTTTAACATTCCATGTTGTTTATCGAGAGATAAAACATGACGCGACTCAGGGCATAGGCCATATAATTGCGTCGTATGTTGCTTAGAGAACGAGAAACCGGAAAAAAAAATAAAGTGCAATGCAGCCAAAACGTTGAACAAACTATTTTCATAATAACGAAAAGTAAAAAAAAAAAAATAAACTGCATTTCTGACCTTGGCTTTCCACAGTGCTGACAGTGCAGTCCCTCTCTTGATGAGTCTACAGTCAGCGCGCAGTGGAACCACCATTTAGCAATCTCTATATCCTCGCAAATCTTAGCAATTGTGTGCTCCCTATAGACAAGACAAAAACAAACAGTAGGCAAACCACAACAATAAATGACTTCATCAATATGTTAGTCAATTCATGTGTCATGTCACCCATGTAATGTCACGTCACGTTAAGTCATGTTATGTCATGCCGCGTCATGTTATGTCACTCGTCATGTCACGTCAAGTCATGTTGTGTCAGAGTTATTTCTTTAGTTAATGGAACTCACTCTGAACTGTTCCTGTTACTATTAATGCGCAAGCCACAATACGTCAAGGATAAAAGTCACTACGCGACTAACTACAATTTATAATCAATGANATATGTTAGTCAATTCATGTGTCATGTCACCCATGTAATGTCACGTCACGTTAAGTCATGTTATGTCATGTCGCGTCATGTCATGTCATGTCACTCGTCATGTCACGTCAAGTCATGTTGTGTCAGAGTTATTTCTTTAGTTAATAGAACAACTCACGCTGAGCTATTCCTGTTACTATTAAGGCGTAAACCACAATATGTGAAGGATAAAAGTCACTACGTGACTAACTGCAATTTACAATGATTAAAGAAAAACCCGTACTTGGTATTTCCAACCTCAGCTCGCCATCGCATTAGCTGTTCCACATAAAATACAAAATCCGCTGAACCAGATTCCAGACTGAGAGCACGACTCTGCCGACAGATCTCCATTACCTCCCACGGCTGAACATCTGGGAACATTCTAGCACATGTTATCATTGTCTCGCGACTGTTGTGTTCGTACAAGCTACAAATGGGAAATTAAGACTAGTTAAGAATACTCTGAAACAGTTCTCAATAGTCCATTATCAAGTGTACATATTAATGTATCATTGGAATAGCGTAGCAATAGTAGCGGGCCCAGAACAAGGAGAAAGAATTAAGCTAAAAGTCACTACTCATTAGCCAAAGTATTACTCGTTTACACTAAATAATTCATTTTTCATCACAAATTATCACCGAAAATTCGCAGAAACATCAGATTTTATGAACGTCAGATATAAACCTTTTTCCTTGCAAAGCCAGTAGACAAGGCAGAACACCTATTCGCAGCACGATATCTCACGTTTTTATTTGGTGGGCCGCGTATCTGTGAGCTGTTAAATCAGAAAGTGATCGCAAGGAGTTGCAATAGCCTTTTCATGACAGTCTCGGAAGAAGGAGGGTTAGAAAACAAGCACAGCTTACCGAGTTAAATGGTAAAGGAGGATATCGGAGTAGACATCCATCCCATCATGCAGTTCATGAAGAGCTCGACGTGCGTCACCTTCTTGTAGGTATCTAGCAATGACGTCATCAGCGGTAACAAGACCTACACAACAAAACAATTATTTGTACCTTACTAGAATAGCATGGATCACACTTTACAGGGAGATGACAGCAAAAATTCACGGCTCAAAAATCTCACTGTCTTTTGCCCAATTTAAGTCATTTAGGCAAGGTTCTTGCAGGAACTTAAGATCATTGCCGTCACGTTTTACCACATCTTTTACGTATTAACGCAAGGCTGTAATAAAACCTATACACGCAAAAACATTCATCTTAAACTTGGCATAGTTCTAGACGTATTATACTACTAACAACAGTATTGCTTTACAACAAACCAAATAAAGATCTTACAAACCAATTGTCAAGTCACATACCCGACAGACACTCCACAAACGTGTTCCAAGTCTTTCTTCTGTCTCCCCTGCTCATGAAGAAAGTCCGTCGTAATTGTTTTACATCCAGGAGGAAGAAATAGTAAGCCAAGAATTTTGCGCGAATGCTGTCATTCTCCTGTTCTACGGAGCTTTCAATATTGCTATCGCAGAATGCAGTTCCATTTTCACACAACCCACAGATGGGCTCACAATTTGGTGTTGAATGAAAAGTAGCTTGGCTTTTCCTTGCTGACGAGGCATTGCTGGATATTTCTTCAAGGGTGGTGGCACTTATGTCACTGGATTTGTGCCGAGTCCCATTAATGTCATCAGCTGACACCTCCAGTTGTTCAACAAAGTCACGATTTACATCAACAACATCTGCAGGGTTGATTTTTAGAGTGCTTCCCTTGCAACTTTCCTCCATAACATTTGTGCTGATTGAAGGGGGAATTGGTTTATCAATGTGGGATGCAAATTCGTCAGAAGACCCAGCTTGTGTTGATTCATCAGTCGCCTCATGGCCTTCAACCAAAGAGGAGGAATCGCATACACGAGCTTCGTCTTCTTTGACTTTTTCAGAGGTTTCGGATACAACGATACTCGAAACATCATCCTTGGAATTAGATGCATCAGTCATTTCTATATTATCTTCAACCACCGAGGATGTACGCGAAGATGCCTTCTCACTGCTTATCGCATCACAGGAAGCATCAAGCAAGGATTCTATGCCTTTCAATCCATACACACCACAATCAAAACACATTCGTGTTAGATACGAGACGTCAGCAAATGAAGGCTCGTCAAGAAAATACTTCAAATCAATCTTAGTGTTGTTTGCATCACTGTTGATGTTCAACTGTAGACAGCTCTTCATGGCTGCATGAAGCTTTGGGATCCACTCTTCAAAAGCTTGACGAAGACTGCTAATGCTGAAGAGAATGAGAGGATTCTTCACTTCAGTCCTTAAAACAAAAAAGAAACGTAATCATCAATCTTTCATTCGCTGCTATTAATGAAACGATAAAAACTTTGGGGCTAGCTCATCTCGCAGTTGCTTGTGGGACCATTACTGAGGACAAAACAGAAGATGAGAAGCCATTGCCTGATTTCCAGCCGAAAAGGACCAGGTACGAGTCTGTAAATTATGGGATTAGCAACTATTGATCCACATAGTCAGAAAGAGCGCACCGAGATTCACAAAAATCCCCAAGTTTAGTGTTAATCGGGATAGCTTTGACTGAGATACAGCCATTTAAAAACGCCAAAATTACACAGAAATATTTGGGCATCCAGACACAGAGTCCGGATGGCCATACATTTGTTTGTAAATTTTGATTTTTTCAAATGGTTGTATCTTGCTTACGATTGGGTCTATTTGTACCAAACTTGGGGATTTTGTAAAGCTTGGTGTGCACTTTATGACTATGTGGATCAATAGCTGCTAATCCCATAATTTGTAGACTCATACCTAGTCCTTTTCCGCTTGAAATCAGGCAATACTGTCCCAGTAGTTAATAATCCCACAAGCAACTGCAAGATGACGCTCGTACCAGGTTTCTTCTCGTTTCTAAAATGGCAAATACTAAAAGGACACTGGACCCTACTTTATTTTTACTTAACATTGACCGAGTTAGAGGCAATAGGCCAATTCCGATATATTAAAATTCTAACTTGGCTCCGAGGCTTAGGGGAATAAAACAAAAGAAATTGATTATTCATCCCTCATCCTCGATGTGATTTCTTTTGTTTTATTCCCCTAAGCCTCGGAGCCAAGTTAGAATTCTAATATATCGGAATTGGCCCGTTGGCCTTTCATTGCCCCAAGGTTTCCTCAAGAGTACTTGGTGCATTTTCTAGCGGATTATACATGAAGACTTTATGTTTACTAAGCATGACCTTTAGAGTAGGGCGGCAATAACAGTGGAGCCGCAAATACAGCATAGGATAATTAGACATGATCCTTTCACAGAAAAAGTCGAAAGTCGCACAGATAAAAACACACCGTGTCTTTGCTGAACACTCCATGAGCTCGTCAACCTCCTGTGGACACTTTATTTTCTGTGATTCTTCTTCTGCGTTGTCTACTGTTTCCTCTTCTACAGGTGGAGTGGGAGATGGTAAAGGAGAGAGATCTCCTGATGAAGGTTTTAGTTTCTTTTTCAGCAGTCCCTTGGCTTTTGATAGCATGGCTGGAATGGCAGGAGGCAGTTCAGTTTGTATGGGGCTGGCAGGTTCTGACAAACCTCTGTTCCTCACCTAGATCAATTGCCGAAAGAACCCATGTAGTTACTGTAGTTATGAAATAGGCGAACGAACTGACTGACTGACAGACAGACAGACAGAACACATCGAACTGGCTCCAAATGCTCTTACCTCCGTGTCTCCAGTCGAGGAATATGTCGTACGAATGGAAGAGCTCCGTCCATGGGGTGCTGAATTGCCCTCTAAATATTCACAAAAAAGCATTATTTGTACAAAAATTAACATACATACAAACCATTTACGGATAAACACTCCACGAATGGATCACTCATCTTCCCAGACTGCATGAGAACTGTTCAGCAATGATCTCGTCAATAGGCTACTAGCTGAAGAATGTGGAACAAGGCAGTATAAACAAAAAGAAAAAAAAAATTCTCTCCACTGTCTTGATTTTATTTTGTATTGAGTTATCTTGGTTCGTACAGTATCTAATCATCTTATTCTAGAAATCACAGTAAAATAGAGATCAACAGTGGTGGCATTGGGAATATGTTATAAGCTATGACCAAACTAAATAAAATTAGATCTAACCAATACCTTGTTTTAGTTTTTGAGGTGAATCAATATCTGAAAAAGACAAAACGAGCTGTATTAGGGTTAACACCAGTCACAGAGCAACAAAGCACAGTAACTTCAACCCATATAAAGAGCAAGTACAGTGGAAAAACAGAGAATAAGACAGCAACATTTATTTTCACGTGAACTATACACATACCAACGGTGACAACTCTCTTCTTTCTTTTCTTTTTCTCACGAATACTTAACTTTTCCCTCCTGCGAAAAAAGATAAAAAAAAAAAACATAAAAACGACACAAAACGTATCTTTAAATCAAAAAGACCAAAAGGCATATGGTTGAAAGTGTCTCTAAAGGAAGGAGTGATGAAATAGAATGGATGGAAATAAAGCAACTGCGACCACTAGAGACTGTCAACCCATTAACTTAAAGACTGCCTTCTAATTGCAGTCTCTTCTTTTTTATTACGCATTAGGGAATTTAAGAAAACCACAATGGCAACGGCAACACAACGTCACTAAACAAACTATTGATTAAGCAGACCAATGGTTGTGCACGTGCGTTATAATTCTTGGTACATTTCTTTGCCGTCCCCTGTGAAACATGAATTGATAAAATTCTGGATTGTTTGGAGAACGTGAACCAAGACGGCTAATTTTTTAAATTTCTATTTCAAATTTATCGCTGTGTTCCAGATTAAAGTTTGTAATAGTTTTGACAGTGAGAGACAAAGTAAATGACTTTAGAGTATCACGAGATTCGTAGGTAAATACAAATCTACTTTTTAATCGACGTTTTTCTCGGCGTCGCCATCATGATCCCTTAATAGAGAGCACCCCAAGCTTTACAGATGAACAACAAAAATGGTACCACTCACTTGTCTGATGCTTCCTCTTCCCCAAATCCCCCCTCATTTCCAGACTGTCTTGATTCACTGTCATCAGAATGACATGGACTCCGCTCGTGTGTCTTCTTCTGTAGCAGTGGGCTTTCCTCTTCCTGGATTGTTTCATGGATATCCAGTCCTTCAGCATATGTACCAGTGTCAGCATCACTGGCGACCTTACTTTGAGGGCCACTGACCTCACGGTGTGGATCTGGACTGCTGTCTGCTCCAGGAGAACTCAACGGTCTTCCACCTCCTGGGTTGTCAGCTGATTGCGATCTCTTCAGTTTGTTGAGTCCCTTCTGTCGCTCAGCAGTGAATTTCTTGGCTGCTGCAGCAGCCGACATCAGTATACCTTCAAATGTAATGTCAGCACTCCACTGCTTCTTTACCTTCCTATGCAGATCACTTTTACTCACAGACCCTTCATCCAAATGAATGGCTGTCATCTTGTCATGATCTTCTCCTGTTTCCGATGTCCTTCCGCCAGATGGCACGTTTAACTCTAAATCATCTGTGAAGGCATCACTGCACAAACTAATGGTGTCAGGACTGTCCATCAAGCTGGTGTTACCATGGTTACTTGGTGGATCATCACTGGCTTCTGTTGCAGGCTCCATGTCACGCTCAAGTTCTTCCAGCTCACCAATAATACCGTGACCCTATCATAAATTAAGACAGTTAGGTTATTCATCATGAATCACACCTGGAGAATAATCCAATTTGTTACAAAAAGATGCAAACCAAACAGACAAACTGTTCAGTTCGGAAATGTTCTTACATACCTCTTTCTCTTCTTCACTTAAATCTTCTCTGAGTTTTGCAACCAATGAAACAGGAACCAAATCTCTTGCAGAGCCAGGAATGATGTAATGTTTGCAACTTAGCAGCACCTGAGGATAGTCAAGACACACCATAGTTTAGTAGGCGACTTAAACAGGACCTAACAGTGGCAGATAACAGCTCTGTTCTAGCATGCCAACCATGGGGTTTAGTAATACTCCAAGTTACCGCTTCTGGTACCAGCTGCCACAGGCCACTTGGTTCACACAAAGGACTTCTCCTTGATACCAAACTCAAAACATACCAATCTGATTTTATAAATGTTTCTCATTTTTCACCTGAAGACACTGGCTAGTCTCTCCCATTTCAAACAGCCTTGACACGCATTCTTTAACAGAGAGAAGAGCAAACCATTTCACACAGCCTTCAGCATCATACAAGTAAAACTCTTTTCCAACACAAACAATATCCTCAACCACTGCAAAAAAAAGTTATCAACTGTAAATACAAAACATGAAATACTCATGAGTAACAACGTTGTAGATGTCCAGCAACATGGATAAAAACTTTGTATCTAAGGTGAAAATAATTCATGCTGCCAGACATGCCAAGCACTGAGTAACCAGGAGAACTGCTTCATCCCCTAGGTACAAACAGTTAGCCCATCACAGATTACTCCCAGAAGTTGCTCTAACAGTGATCCCTTACACTCCCAGGTGGTGAGGCAATCAGAAATTTACATGGCTTGCCCAAGAATACAACATCAATAACAATGCAAGGACCCCTGTTGGGTAATGGACCTTGTAACATGATGCCCCAACTGAATCCTATGTCTTATGGTATGGGACAGATAAATGTTTGAACCAAAATTTAATAAGCAATTTCTAGAGCCACATATGCAATGACAGAAGAGAATACTACTTTGTGATAACCTGCTCTAATGAAGTATAGTGTATTGGCAAGTCTACAGCCTCCTATCTGTTCTTACCTTTCTCCATGGCATACCAAGCCACCAACTGCCCTAAGACTGGATCCATGATGTACACTGAAGTACCATGCCATGTCACTATGAACCGATCCCTAGGGAGTAAATGTCATGCAAAGCAATGAGTTACGTGTACAGAAGTTAATTGAAGGGGTGCGGAGAATAAGGCCCTAAGTGACTGTTGATGTAACATCAAACTCTCCTTGTGCTTGATAAGGGAACACAAGGTATTTTGGGCTTTTTTCCAAGGAATCCCCTCAATTATGCATTTTATGCAAGGTACTACAGAAATTGAGCCTATTTTTGAAAAGGGATGGATCAGAACACAAAATTTAAACACACACCTAGATTAGTTCAAAGTTAGCATGATCATGGTTAACATTTTGTGCTCAGGGGTTAAACACAAAACACACAAAACCAAGACTAGATTTGTTAAGTTTAGTGCAATTAGGGTTAGCAGTCAGTTAGAAGTTAAAATAACTTTTTACATGTAAGGATGTTTCAAGCTGTTCTGGACTATTACAGACCATCCCTGGAAGTTTCAGTGTTCCCTGCACTAGTATACACTGGCCAACAAAAGTTTTGGGAAAGCATAAAAGTGTTACTCAGGACAAAAATAATAAGTTTTTGATTTGAGAAATATGTCATGCTCTTCTCATCTCAATTGTCATGTGAGGAGGCTTTGCTGACAGAGGGTCACCTTTCCTAATTTTCTCTTGCAAATCATCAGACTGAGTGCATTTCTTCATACACTCTATGTTGCATGTTTGATATAATGGTTGATGCATTAAAGAATTACAGCTTAGTTGACAAAGTTACATTGTACCAGCTGATAAAATTACCTGACAAGCAAAAGCTTTGCAAAAGTGACAGACTGTGGTGGAAAATCTTCTTCTGTAATTGGCACAGTGGCACTGTGACTGCAAAATAAACATTCAGACTACATGTACATGTATGTAAAACGTTATGTCTTGACTAAAATTTATCATCAACATCAAGGCAAAAAGTGACGTCAACAGGGTGGAGCTTTGGCTTAATATGGTCTCAATGGCAGTAAGTCCTGGATGATAAATCTTTATTATTATATGGCTAGCTCTGTGAGCAGGCAAGATGAATCAAATCCTGCACTCTGATTGGCTACCTGAGCGGGCAAGATGGAGCTATCTTGCCCGCTCGGGACTTCCTGCTGTATCCCGCAAGAAAAATTTCCCCAAAAAATTTCCCTGAAAGCCATATAATAAATCCTTTATTGACCAGGCTTGTTCGGTCAAGATGGCTGGATATTGGCTCCCCCTTTTTTTTGCGAGTTTATGGACCTCAACTCCGTCTCGGTCCATAACCATGCGAAAAAGGAACTTGGCCAATATCCAACCATCTTGACCTCACACTTGGTTAATAACCAATACATAATTAACTCTCCCTGGCTGAGATTCTGGCTACTTCATAACAAGTTACTCCCTGCATTTTGTCACAAACTTTCTCTGACAATTGCCCATGCCCTTAAATAATACATCTAGGTGGAGAGAAGCACTGTGAGAATACACTGAGCTACCCTATCCAAGAACATAACAAGGAGAAAATCACCTGGACACAAATTCTGGAGCTAATACACAAACCATTACACAATAAAGCACTACAGGTTCCAGCCGAAAAAATGGAGATCTGGTTGACAGAGACATTAGAGAATGCATAGACTTCTGAAAATGGCCTCAATCTTCAGAAGGCCTCCAAAGAGTACTGAGCAGACACATGAAGAATTTTGAAGAAGCACATTGAGACTAGTTAAAGAGCTATTGCTAACCCATCTTCAAAGAGTATAGTTACCGGTACTAACCCGTGTCCAAGTAATGGCACTGCTGCTATTCCTAGAAGTTTCTTGTACTGCTGTGTTGCCATGACTTGTCCATCTATACTAGCCTACAAAGAAGATATATTCACAAACCACTCTAGTTATCCATTGTCATCCCTGTAAATCCTCACTTTCCATTAAGTTCCAATACTGTATACCTTTTTCCCAAATCAAAAGTTAGGTTAGTGACATGTGATCTAGTGTGCCAGCCATATGCATGTAAATCACCCAATCTGGGTTTTCCCTGAGTTATGCTGAGACTAAATGCCAATTACAGACAAATTTTCCCAGCTGTATGGATCTTGGAAGGTTATCACCATCTAAAATTTCTTTCACTTCACTTTGCTTTTTGCCATACCCCCTGGAGGTAATAGGCTAGGCGTTGACTAAAATTTCACTAAAATACCAAAATCTACTGACATTTTCAAGGTGCTTAGGTCAGAAAAGTGGCTAGGCTTGTTATGAGCCTGCTTTGTTATTGTTTAGATACCTGGGTAAGATTTAATGGATTTATATTATATTATGCTACAGAATGAGTACTCACTTCCCATAACCTTGATCCAGGACGAGCAGCATAGATAGTGGGATTGTCAGAGATACCCTCTTTAAAGAAGCAGCTTCCATATAAACCATCCCTGAAAGATTGAAAGTTGAATTGATGACACTGTTGATGATTTATAACTACAGTGCAGGGTTCAACAAAGGGTAAAGGGCAAAGGTCACAAAGTCATATTCTAACAGACCTTGGTGAGAAGTTTTATTTCATGTTTAACCTGTAACAGCACATCAGACAAACAACATTGTTTTTGAATTATCAGCTCCTCTTAAACCTGGACTTAGTGAATATAAATGTATGTATATCAGCCATAAGGGTTCTTGCCATCCCATGGTTGAAACCATGTTCACACAGGATAACCTTGTGCTCATGGTACCTGGGTGAACACAGCTTTTAAGAAACCTATGCCAATGATGGAGTCGGGGTGCAGATCTATACAAGCCGGGTAATATTTATCACATCCCTGGATCCCATAGCAGAAATGAATACTGGTCTGTAGGCATTTTACATAAGGTCCCAGGCATAATTTAATCTAAAATTCCTGATTTTCAAATATCATGGACCAGTGGGAATTTCATAGATTGACATACTAGGTAATTTTAAACTAATAAACTGTGTCAATGCTCACCAGGAGTCTAAACAATCCAGAAAATACTAACCTTAGCTTGACCCCAACTGCCACACAATCCAGACTAAAAACAAGATATTGTAATAATTTTTAAATATAGTTATAATAAATTACGATAATGTTAAATGCTAACAACAATGTTCCACTTAACAGCTGGGGCTTCTTGGGTTAAAAAAAAAAAAACACGGTTACCTCCTGAGCTAACAAGTTAATGCAAAACCTGTGATGATTTAGTGAGACCTGTATTATTTAACAATTAGACCCGCAGCCCGCAAGGGCTACGGGACGATAGCCCATAAGGCGAAGGCGAATGGGCTATTGACCCGTGGCCCTTGA